GGTAAATGAGAAAAGTGTGACTCCAAAATTTTGGTACTTCAAATATACATGCATGGGCCAAAAATCTCATACTGCATGTAGCTAGCTAATATATTAATTCTGAGACGTTTGAAACTGATATGAGCAAAGGCAACAGCTCATTCACGTTGTTTTGTCAAAGGAATATTGATAATCTAATCTAGCCTTTATTAATACGTTCTCATCATTAACCGGCAGTCGAAAGCTCATAACAATAAATATTTTAAAACTAGAGAACGTCCAAAAACTTATATCTGGTTGCATAGAAAACCTATGTTGTTTGTATAGAATTGAAATTATCAAACCACATAGCAAACCATTTCTAATCACAACAGTCTATATAGACATTGCAAGCATGCAACAGCAGATTTCTTTGAGAATTTTGCGGAAAATTTAATAAAAGCTTTTGATGATGAAAATAAAGAATTCTATATTCTTGGTGATTTAAATTGTAATATGGTAATGACAGGTAATGAAAATATGCCGTTAAAGAAAATTAAATATTTATATGAATTGTATCAAAGGTCACAATTAATTCAAGAAGCTACCCGAGTAACTATGACAACCTCCTCCCTTATTGACCACATAATAGCTAATGCTCCAGAACAAGTTTCTTATTCTGGTGTTATCCACACTGCAATAAGTGACCATAGTTTAGTTTTTGCGATTAGAAAGATTTGTGTTTTTATGAAACTAGAAAACACAATTGAAATTAGAAATATGAAGAAATTGGATACCGAAAAATTTATTGAGGATCTGATGCAACAACAGTGGGAAAATGTGTATTTTTTCGCTGAAACTCCAAATGCAAAGTGGGAAATTTGGAAAATGCTATTTTTAGAAGTTTTAGACAGACATGCACCCCTTCAGAACAAGAAGATCAGAACATGACGAGTCCGTTGGATTACAAGTTCCATAAAAGAACTTATTAATACAAGGGACAAGCTTAAAAAAAGCCATTATTACCAACCTCGAAAATAATCGGTTAAATTATTAAAGAACTAGGAATAAAGTAAATATAGAACTAAGAAATGCCAAAAAAGATTACTGCTCCACGAAAATTACTGGTGATAAGTGCAATCCTAAGGAAGCTTGGAAGACCATAAACAGTTTATTGAGAAGGCAGACCAAACCAACAATTGTAAATGAGCTAAAACTTGGTGAAAATAGTTTAACTGACCCTAAAGTTATTGCAGAGGGTTTTAATTATTATTTTTCAAATATTGACCCAAATTTATCTAGCCAAATTGATACTTCAAATTTGAACTTTGAAACATATGTCAAAAATGCTGAATCCCAACCTGTCTCGATCAATCACGTCTACCAACTTCTGACTGGTCTCTCAAGCAACAAAGCCGCCACAGTTGTCAACAAAATTTCTTGCAAAATTATTAAAATTACTTCACCTGCTATTTCAGATTCACTAACACATATTTTTAATCAGGCCATTACTCTGTCCTCAATCCCTGATGAATGGAAAATGGCTAGAGTAATACCTCTATATACAAAAATGGCCAACGTAATGTGGCAGGAAATTACAGACCAATTCCTGTCCTGCCTGCCGTTAGGAAAAAATTCTATATAATCAACTGTACATTTACTTATCCAAATTTAGACTTTTAATTAAGTGATAGTGACTTTGGTTGTCAAAAATTTCATGCTATGACTACTGCATTATTAGAGTTGCACAAATGACTGGTATGTGAATTTAGACAGAAAAATGTTTAACCTGCTTGTCCTAATTGACTTTAATAAAGTATTCGATACAGTCGACCATCAAATTTTATTGACGAAATTGGAGCTGTATCTGCGGTACAAAAGGCCAGGCACTATCTTTTCTCAATTCATATCTCTCAAATCGAAGTCAGAAATGCCAAATAAATGGATTTTTGTCATCGGAGAAAGTGATTAGATGTGGTGTGCCACAAGGCTCTATTTTAGGGCCATTATTTTTTTTATTGTACATCAATGATTTGCCACAATGTCTACCAAAAACAAAATCCCGGTTATTTTCTGATGACACAAACCTGACAGTTTCTGGCAAGCTTCTTACACTGTAGTGAATTCTGATTTAGAAAACCTAAAAAATGGCTAATTGCATATAAACTTGCATTGAAAACTGAATTTATGTTAATTGGCTCAAAACAAATGATTAAAAGTATTTCGAATTTGCAGCCAAATGTGGTCATTGAAAACAAACAGATTAAACAAGTGCATGAGTGCAACGAAAATATTTGCAGGAAAATAACAAATGGAATTTCTGCTCTTAGACGTTTAAAGGATTTTGTTGACAGGCAAACACTTCTTTCCGTTTATGATGCTATTGTTCGCCCGAACTTCGATTACTGCTGTGAAGTATGGGGTTTGTTCTGTGAAACTCAATCGAAACGACTTCAAAAACTCCAAAATAGAGTTACTCGAATTATCATGAATATGAGCAATGACACAGATCATTCTGCGCTGGAAGACACTTAAAGTAGAAAAGGGGAAAGCCAAGGCAAAAATGAGGTATAAACTATTAAATAACATGGGCCCTCAATCACTCACTAACTTTTATTCACTTATAAAAGTGAGATGACTAGCTATAATCTTCGACACGTTTCAAGTATTCTTTTTTTACCGCAACCGCGGACTAATAATTTGAAAAAAAGTTTTATGTACGATGGATCACTCCTTTGGAATTCTATTCCTAAGGAAAGTAAAGAGAGCAAATCCTTTAATTTCTTCCTTTCGGACGAAAATTAAATCGCTGCTCACATTGATATTGACAGCAAATATATGCATCTGTAAATACATTATTACCTAATATGCTGCATCTTATATTTTAATACTTAATATATTTTATACTATGTTTCCTATTTTGTAAATAGCTTTTTCATTTTTGCTGTGTACTTCTTGTTCACACGCCCCTTGTGGAAATTAGCTTTCGTTGACGAGGTTAGCGTGTTTAAATAAATAAATATATCTATGCTAATGGTATGACTTGGCATGATACGGTATTGTAGAATGTGGTGCCGTGTGATCTATTATTGTATGGTATGGTATGGTATTGTGTGATATGGTCTGGTCTGCTCTGGTCTGGTATGCTGCGGTATGTTATGCAGTGTCCTTTAATTTGACGTGGTAACTCGGCATAAGATACACATCATATCATAGGACATTGCATGACATACAGCAGCATACTGGACCATACCATACCACACAATACCATACCATAACATAACAAACCATACTATACTATACATATAATCTATGACACATGCACCATGCCATAGCATAGCATACTATCCAGACAAAACCATGACACACCAAACCATAACATAACATACCATGCCAAATTATAGATCAACCGTATCATACCAAGCCATACCATACAATAACACGTCACTCCATATAGCTTATCATCATACAATATACCACACTATACCATACCATGCCATGTCGCAACATACTTTACCAAGCCACACCACCTCATAACATACCATACCATTTCATAGCATAGCATTAGATAGCATACCATATCATACCATACTATACCATACCATACTATACCATACCATGTCATGCCATACCATTTCAAACCCAAGCACACCACACCATACCATATCGTACCACACCATATTGTACGATATACCACACCATACCTATAGCATACGTATATACTATCTCATTCCGTAGCAAACCAAACCATACCACATAATGCCACAACGCACCATTCCACTCCATACTATACCACTTCACACCTTATCACACCATACCACATCATACCACACCATACCACATATACGTATACCATACCACACTATACTATACTATACTATACTATACTATACTATACTATACTATACTATACTATACTATACTATACTATACTATACCACATAGTACCTTTTACACCATGGAAATGTAAACCACAACATACCATACCACTATTCTCGTACTCAGAACCCTTCTTACGCGCGGTCAACCGAGGGCATCCGTCGATATAATCAAAATATTATAGCTCAAAATAGTTTATTTAGCTCTGATTACTGTGTGGAGTGCGTGTAAGTAACGGTTGGTTAGGTTGGAAGTTAGGTGCAGGTTAATGCTACAATATTGTATTGTATTGTATTTAATTAAAACAAAAATTGATTTTCGCTAATTTCGTGATTACGACGGACTAAATAAATTGTTTTATGGACAACTTTACACCTGAAGTTTATACCTAATAATTACCTGAACAATTTTTTCCATTTCCTTTCCAACCAATGTGGCACTGACAGTTGTATGAGCCTGGAGTGTTGGTGCAGTTTGCGCTAATATCACAATCGTTAGTCATTTCATGGGAACATTCATCAATTTCTTGTAAGATTTTAAAATAAGGAACAAATAAGTTATATTGACAAACCACCTAAAAGACATTCGTAAACGACAGATTGGGAAATACAATCAACAGACGATATCCTATCTATATATGTCCTAACCGATACCCCATTCTGATGTTCCACAGTATTGTACAAACTCGTAGATAAAACAAGATCAGCATGCAGAACAAAATGAGAGACTTACTAGAAGTAACAAAGGCGTATACGCGACAAACAAGTGTGACGTTTTCTTTACTTTGAAAGACAAACGTTATACTAGCTTAATATCATATTTCGTATAAAACCATTAGAAGGTTTATGAGAGTTGGCATTAAGTTCGAAGACCGTATGGCCGGGAAGATATACCAATGCATACCATGACAATATATTGAGTTGCTGTTCGATCGGATTTGAGAGTATTTATCTATATATACTCAGATTATTTCGGCTATTAGTTAACAGTATGTGGACAAGCAGAGTGTTTGTCCTCTGTCAATTAGATTAAGGTCAAAAGTTGCTATGATTCGAGCAGAAAAGCGAAGTATGATGCCCACACTCTTGCTGGTCGTTGGAGATCCGGAGAAATTATTGATTGGTTATAGCAAGGCTTGGTTACGAATTAAGAGTGACTTTGTCCTAATGTGCATGTGAGTAAATGTATGCCTTCAGATCGCGCGTACTATGTACGCCTTCGTATTCATTAATATTATTATCACCTTTTTCACAGATCTCTCCTTCGTATCCCTTCTTACATAGACATTTGAAAGGTTTCTCTGGATCCCAGATCATTGTTCCACCATTATGACATTCATTCACTTCCCCTCTGCACAATGCCTTCAAAATAGTTGATTATACATGATCACATGCAAACATACTGGTATCTATTTTAAAGACTCGAAATGTTTAAATACCAGACAAGTTATATTTTGTTTTAAAAGCTAGTCGATTCATTGAACCAATATTTGAGTATACCAATTCCCTTTTAGTTGCATGTCGAACGCCAAAATGTCCCAATTGTTATTTTCTGCTCGGCATTTTCGTCAACGCTCATATATAAAATTCAAAGCTTAAATATAGTTAAAACAATACAGTTTTATGTAAACGTGTGAAAAAATAATATCCCATGTTCAAAACATGCCCATTTTTGAACAAGAGCTATACAGACCTGCTAAGAAATTGTTATCAAATAATTTACAGACCTTTTGCAAAAAAATCTTATTAGAAAAAATATCTAGATCAAATTAAGGGTTGGGGTATATACTTGACTCGAATTCCTATACTTGGGAACGTTTTCCGATATACAATATTTTTCAACAGTTCCAGGAATTAAAATTTTTAAAATGGAACAGTTTTTATCTGGGAGAGTGGAGGCTAATTTCCATAAATTTCATGGACGTTCATAAAATTATTAAACGCAAAGTTTGAAAGACTCTAGGAAAAGTTTGAAAGAATCGAGCATGGAGAGTTATATATGGTCAACGAAATTCCGTAAGGCTGCCAATAAGAAATAGATCCTGTGCACTTCAGGTTTTTAAATGTTTAAATGGAATAACGCCAAAAGCCTTTCAAGATTATTTTTAAAATGTTGCACATGCTTAATGTACACGTGCGAATAACACGAATATTGTCCTTCCGAAGATCAGGGGGGGGGGGCGGTTGTTGAAAGTTCGGTTAGCGCTAACCTGTTTTAAAATATAACCCGCTGTTCTAGTTTGTGTATTTCTGTACGTCTGTTTATTTCAAAACTTCAGAGAAATAAACTCCTATCGATTTCCGGATCTCTAAAAAAATATTTCAAAATTTATAGACAAGCTGTCAGGAAGTTTGCTTTGAATTTTAGGTTAATCTAGGGTTAAGCCAGCTAACCCAGTTTTGACCACCCGTTCCGTGAACTGGAACTGGAAAGAATACCTTTGCTTACCAAGGGCCGGAAATTATTTTTAACAAACTAACTCCAGTGATTTGAAGACAGAATCATCACTTTAAGATGAAAGTCTAGCTGCAAAGATTTTAACTTTGACTCTTAATCTGTACATACATACATTTTATATATTTTATACAATTTTAGGCAACTATCATAGCTTAATGTAATATTGGTAATATAGTTTTAGTTTTAGTGGACAGTAACATCGACAGGTCCTTGGTTGATACCATCAATCTATGTTGCTGAAATAAGTTTTTAACCTGTATAAATATCACAATGATATTATTGTTTTTATTACTATTATATTCTCCCGCATATATTGGCGTCTAGGAGGGGGAATCTTTTTTATATTTTTAATACATTCGTGTAAAATTTCCCTTTTCGTGTGAAATTTTTACTCTGATCGGATATTTTAAGCAGGAGGGGAGCTTAGCCCTCTTTTTCATAATTTTCCCTCTAGCCCTCCGCCTGTTCCGCTACCTATGTAAAATAATTTAGAGCGATTCTGGTATTAATGGTGGCTATACCCTTAGTTTCCAAATAATCTAAAACGTATATACATCATTGCTTACCACCTGACTTCGGTCAACATTATCTTTGATGAACGTCCAAACTCGCTTTTTTCTGCTGGCATTATTGTCAAAATTATGTTGAGTCGTATTTGTCAACTGACAGTTCCATTCGTGTCCCTCAGACTTCTCCTTGTAGTTGAATGCAACACAGAAACGGTAATCTGCGCAATTAAGGCCGCAAACCTCGTACGTTGGTTCTCTGAATTGAGCGATGATGTTTGTTTTTAAACTAGTCACATCTAAAAATATTAATTTATTCATTCTGTGGTTTCATATAACGTCACCTGGGCGGCAAGGGTCCGTGGCAAGGCTAAATGAGAGCGTTTATGTTGTTTTATGTTGGCCAATATAATAGTCGGAAAACTCATTTACATAAAGGTCCAGTTACACGTGCGATTTTTTTCTCGCGCCGGCAACGCAACGGGTTAAATTTCATTGCGTTACTCGCGCGAGTGATGAAATTGCCCGTGTAACATATCTGGCGCGGTAACGCAATTGCAACCCGATATTTTCGGCAATCGTTGCGGAAAGTTGAAATGCTTGAACTTTCGGCAACGATTGCCGAAAATATCAAATTACCCAGCCATTGTTTGAGCAGGAAACGCATGGGCTATTTTAAGATAGCCAATGAAATTCGCTTCTGTACGGACAGCGTGCTGTAGCGCTGCCAAATATCGAAGCGTTATTGATTGATTCACGCATTATTGTGTCTTTCTTGTAAAGCGTTTCAGATAGATTATCAACTATCTTTTTGAAATGATCAAAATCCATTCGCATAAATCTTTCAAATCCTGGTGTGTCGTCGGCAGCCAGATCGGGAAGAAGCTGATCGAAATAACCTTTGTTTTTTCTCTCTAGAAGCCAGTGCCGGCTCCAAATACGTTTCTTTTGTTTAACCTCCTCGTCATCTTCTTCCAGCAAAAGCATTGCAGCTATGACCACAAGTTCTTTCTTCGACGCTATGTTGTTGTCAGTGACGTTTGCGAATTGCAAAACACTAGTGCCCGTTTTTTTCATGCAAATAGTTGCGACGCGGCTAAGCTATCATTGCTCGTGTCACCACTTCACTAGCGCGAGTAACGCAATGAAATTTAACCCGTTGCAAAGGCGTTGCGTTGCCGGCGCGAGAAAAAAATTGCACGTGTAACTGGACCTTAAGATGCGTTGACAGCCATTTTGTTTCCTAGCTCTTTTGGTTGGCTTCGTTTAAATGATTCACCCACACTTTAGTCAAATTAAGCTAAAATATCAAGGGAGAAAAGTAGGCCCTCAGAAATTTACTTATATAATTGCTATAACTTGAATGACTTAGTACTACATTGAACTGGTTAGACCGATTCCAAGTCTCTCTTTTGTCCTTTAGTATAATAGTATCGATCCACGATTGTGCACATTACATGACGTAGTATACGGAGGGGCGGAGCGAGAAAGAGAGACTTTGCTCATGAGCAATTAGTTCAGTTAGATTTCAAGTTGATTTTCAGGTAAATTCAGGTAGATTTACAGAAGGTATTCGGGTAAATTCAAACCAATACAGGTGATTCCTAGGACAAGAGGAAGTTAATTCTAGAAAATAACTTTGAATTCGGAAAAAACTGAGGTGTTTTTGACAAAATTTGGGGAAAATACGTTATGTCCGCAAAAAATTTTTTGATGTCCCGAAAACTGGAAAAAAAAAGAAAAAAAAACAAAACTGATATGTCCGGAAAATTTTTTGTAATTGCCGTAGAATGATAGTATGGCCGAAAATTGTTTGGCGATGGGAGGAGATCTCAACAAAATAATTGGAAAAAAATTTTCAGGTAAAATTTGAAATTTGGATCAATTTCAGGTAGATTTAACCAAACACCCCCTGACGCGAGTTTCTCGCGACGGCACTGATCGGGCTAGTTTTCCAAAGGTCGTAGGTTCGATTCCCACCGTGACGCGCCACGCATATTTTTCAAGCTTGCCCGGTGTGGATATACACTCAGAGTAACACCACAAGCATCATTAGAAAAGCTTTCGACTCAATCGACCACTCTATTTTACTAAAAAAGATGAATGAGCGATTTAGAATTTATGGGGTTGAACTAAAATGGTTCGAGTCTTATCTTACAAAGAGACAAAAAGTGTGTTTTGTCGTCAATGGTCATACATCATCACCTAGACAAATTATATCCAGAAGGCTTCATTCTTGGCCCACTATTCTTTTTACTATACAGGTGTATAAAAAAACTGAACAGATTTGAAATTGCTCTCAATTTCGAAAAACAGCTATTAGCATCTAATTTTTGATATATATGGCTTCTTTGGGTACTTGTAATGTAGAATAATGAAAAAATTTTCGCGAACACAAATTTTGTAAACCAGGTGGGTTTGTCTTTTCCGACAAACTAAAAATGGCTGGCGCACGCAATTTAAAAGATATAATCGTATTTTGAGTTAACGGATGAAAAATGTGTTGGGTGTTTAATTGCTGCAAGAAATTTCAGACAATTTGCTTCAGTTTAAGCCCTTCAACTATTCACGCAAACTTACATTTTTCCAAAAAAATCAGCAATTTGCATGCTTAATTAATGCAGTTGCCCAATTTGCATATGTCAGCAATATGCAAATTAGGTAAAGGCATTAATTAAGCATGCGAAAAGCTGATTTATTAGAAGAAAATGGATAGTTAAAGGGCTTAAACTACAGCAAATTGTCTGAAATTTTGTACAGTAATTAAAAACCCAACAGATTTCCATCTATTAACTCAAAATACGATTATATCTTTTAAATTGCATGCGCCAGCCATTTTTAGTTTGTCGGAAAAGACACACACCCCTGGTTCACAAAATTGGAGCTCGAGAAATTTTTTTCATTATTCTACCTTATAAGTACCCAAAGAAGCTATATACATAAAAATAGATACTAATGGCTGTTTTGCGAAATTAAGAGCAATTTCAAACCTGTTCAGTTTTTTTTTATACATGCTATATATTAACGATATGCCAAAGTGTCTAAAATCTACAACCCCTTGCCTCTGCGCTGACGATACCGAGATTTTTCCATCATCACTTGATTATGATACACGTGTTAAAAACCTAGATGATGATTTAAAAAATCTTCACAGTTGGGTTGCCAAAAATAAGTTACAACACCATCCAACTAAAACAAAATTGATGTTCATTGGGTCACCATACAATCTTAAAAATATGACTGGTGATGCTACTGTATTTTTTTGCGACAAACCAGTTCCATTTTAACTCATTCTCTTAAAAGCTTAAGAGCAGACATCAATGAAAATTTGAGCTGGGAAAAACATAGTGACAAAATATGTAAAAAGGCAAATGCCGGTATTGGGGCTATTAAAAGAGCTAATTACAGGTAAACTACGTGAAGCGTTCCTCTTTTCACTTCCTAACTCATTTGGAATTTTCCTCATTAGCTTTGCAGATTTGAAAAACTCTTTGCAAATCTCTTGAGGGAATTTGCAATGTTCCTATCGGCTGTTGCAATATTCCAATGCAAACAGACTTCATTATAAATTTTCCTAACTTCCTGTTTTAATTTCCTGACAGTTCCTGTCTGTTTTGAGCGTTGTGATTGGTCGATTATTTTTGTTAGCCAATTGCAATGCCCAGAACAGAACAGAACAGGAAGTTAGGAACTTGTAACAGGAAGTTAAGAACTTCTAACAGGAACTGAGGAAAATTTAATTGTCTTTTAGCAACATTGCAAATTTCCTCAAGGGATTTGCAAGGGAATTTTTTAAATTGCAAAAGTAATGAGGAAAATTGCAATCAATTTAGAAACTCAAACGCTTCACGTAGTTTACCTGTAAACTGTACGTTGGATATAAATACATTACAAACCATATAAAAAGTACTACTGTAGTGCAGCCATATTTTAACGCAATTATTGCACCCTATTGGGAAACTGAACACCGCGGAAAAACGTCTGCGCATGCGTCAACCTTACCTGTAATAGTATTGCGAACTTGATGAGAAGCTGTTCCGAACGTTTCCGAAGGCTCAAAATGGCGGTAAAAAGGAGTGACTTCATTGTGCGTCTTTACAGCCAGATTTCGAACGCAAAAATAAACATGTCATTCTAAAAACTAGGAATAAATACAGCCAGAAGGTTCAAGAAATTGTATTGTACAAGAACATGAACTAAAGGTGATTGTTGACAAATTTATCGTCTGAAACATTTTGTTTAACTAAGCAACGACAATTTCCGAATTTTCGTTTGAGATACATTTCTTTACAAAAAACTGTGTCGCCAAATATAAAAAATTGCGTGTTCACAATAATTAAACTTTTGGATTTATTCTACAATTTGAGTGGGTTAAGAAGCTTAACTTTTCGAGAGTTTTCTTAACTTTTGAGTTTAAATTTTTGTTTTGAATAATTTTGCAAAAATTTTCGAAGTCGTGTCCGTTAACACCAACAATTTTTTACATGAATTATATTTCATTCCATACTTTAAATGCCAGGACGTTTTTCCGCGGTGTTGGGAAACTGTGGTAAATTGCTACAAGATAGACTACAAAGATTTCAGTCTCGCACACGGCAAGGGTAATAACTGGTGCCACCCACGATATAAGGTCCGCTTGACATTCTTAATACCCTGTCTTGGGAAACACTTGATAACAGAAGAAAAAAATCCAAGGCTGTGTTTATGAATTAATCATCTTGAGGAAATGAATTGTGCAATATTTTATCAACGCTTCCATTGCATCGACAGTAATATTGTGATTGACTGTAAATAAATTATTACACAATATAATACAAACTAGCATAACTAGAGACCTAAATAAAAAGTCGGTCTACGTGTTAAAAAGTGTCAAATGACCACGCTGCCCCGGGTCTAAAAGAATCTTTTTACAAAAGAAATTAAATGTGACACAAAATATCTACAATTTCAGAAATAGCGAAAATGATTTAACTCCGCCAAAACAGAATATCTAAGTACTATTTCAAAAATCATTAATAATTCAGGAGCAAAACACAAAGAAAAATCATAAGCGTGTCGTGGTTTTATATGTCATAAAAAATCACGTTAAAATTTACATAAACTTTAGCTTTGATTTTCTCGGTTTGGACAAAGTTTATTTTACAAATTACTTCGCCAATGAACTCGTATAAGATCAGTCGTTTTTGAAGCTATTTAAAGCACGATAATGTAGTCGTGTTTTATCACATATAAAACACGTCGACGCGTAGCGGAGTGTCTCAGATGTGATAAAACACGACTACAAGTGCTTTAAATAGCTTCAAAAACGACTCATCTTATAC